TTCCCCACTCATTCCTTCTTGGCTACAGAATAAACAATCATAAGTCATCTGTATAACGCCAGCAACCCTACCTTAACCCCAGTCCCTGCATGGACACCTCCCTCCCAACATTTCTGTTTCCCACTGTTCATTTTGGTCTGGTCCAACGTCCACCCACGTAACACAACTAAAGAAGGTGGAGATAGAATGATAGCCATGGTACATTTGGCCAGTGATACATTTAACTGTGTATGTTGGCCCATTTTCTAGTCAATTAGTTGAATTTCGAATATATTCTACTATGAAAATACCCGTGAAAAATGAAGTTGAATATTGCTTTAGGAATTTCGATAGCACTTTGTTCTCAGCGTTCTGTTGGGGCTTATTCTTGACAGATTGTGGTTAGCAGGACCCTTAAAATATGTCATTAACACAGCAGAAAATCTGCCAGTGTGTGATTATGGTCAGCAAGGCACCGAGAGCAGGTCACTGGGTATGGCCTGCTTCCATTTCTTCGGCATGTATGACTAGGGTTGTTTTTGTACTTTGAAATAACCCGTTCTATTTTGGTAGACCTTTTCTTCCTTCTTTTTGAACGGCACAGTTTCTGTAGGAGACTCACAATGAACCAGCCATTCCCAAGTGGAAGGGAGTGGCGGGCTGCGTCAATATGTCTGTTGCTACTTGGTGTGTGCTGCTTCTGGGCTTTGTGGGTTTCTCTTGATTGTGCCCAACTTAACTGCCCTCCCTGCAGATCCAACCTGCAGGCCATTGTTGCCCTCAATCTTATTCTCAAAGCGCTTTTATTAACTTTTTCTTTTCTGCTCTGATTTTTCTCCGTCTTGCCTACTGTACCTGGTAGTCCTCTAACAATAGTGAGAAAGAAAAATACATTCCGGTGGTGTGGTCAGGGGCAAGCAGCCACTGTTTCATTAAAGAAGAAGAAGAAGAAAAAAAAAAAAGCCTTCCAACTTTGTCACTTTCTTTCCTACTAAGTGTTTGTTGACAGAACAGGAGAAATGATTGAAAGAACCAGCTTTCCCTAATTAAATCTGTCACTGTGAACTTTGCTCTTCATGGAGAAGAGCAGAATTTTTCTTTCTAATTAGTTACTTGTGATTTCTCAGGAAAAATTAAGGCAGAAGGAGATCGGAAGATTATCAACGTTCTTGTGTAATCAGAATCTATTTCTTTGACAGTCAGATGCCAGTGTAAGAAACTGCCAATTGTTGGCTAGTTTGGGTTTGTCCCATCTTTCTTGGTAATAAAACCCTTATGAGGCTGGTCTTTCGTTGCCTGGAATATAAACTCTGTTTCCCAGCCACCCTTTTAGCTAGGTATCACTGTATTACTAAATTTTGATTAATGGCTTATAAGTGGGTATTGCCATGTTCAACTTGTTACAAGTGTCCTTAAGGATGGAAACTGCTCACTCCTTTCCTTCTTCCTGAGGGGAGATTAAGGTGGATGACTGACTCCATGCTGTCATCTTGGACCTGGAGGTGTGCCCCAGATGATGTATAGGGCATCTTGAGCTCTATCTTAGTAGTTCAGCTTGTTGTAACAAAAATACCATAGACTGTGAGCTTTAAATAACAGAGAATTTTTGTTCACAGTTCTGAAGTCTACATGCCCAAGGTTAAGGTGCCAACAGATTTATTGTCTGGTGAGGGCCTTTTCCTTGTTTTCACTGGTGGAGAGAGACCACAAACACTCAGTCCACGCAGGGATGGCCGAGCAGCCAGTCACCAGGAGTGTGTGGACTGTGTGCACATGAGGAAGAAACTCCCGTGTAATCCCTGTTATTTGTTGTTGCTCCCACATGAAGCTGGGCATAATCTTAACTGATTCATTGGACTCTTTTTAATCTTGTGTGGTGTCAGGGAGTCTTTTGAGACTTTTTTTTTTCCATATCGGATTCTTATCTCAGATAAGGAATGCTTTATCTAGTGGACAAGAAAATCTTAACTCTTACTAATAAAAATGTGTAAGATTTTCCACGACATCTGGAGTCTTAAACATCATATGGGAAGCTGCCATCATGATTCTTTTTAAAAACCCCAGAAATACTTGTTTCTCTTGAACTCTTTCCTCCCTGTTTTTGTAGTTAGCTATTGTTTGGGACAGACAAAGAGAGACCTTTTGGGGGGTGACCTAGGATGGAACGTGGGAACAGGTGATGGTGAGAACAGCCCTGTTGGTGGGGAAGTTTGAGCCCAGGCGGGACAAGGGAAATGCCTGGTGGAGGGGAGCCAGGCATGAGAGTAAGCCTCTGAGCCAGATGAGGAGGTCATCTGAGCAGGAGGAAGGGCGGGAAAGGCAGGTTGTTACCATAGTTGTGCACACGCGCAGTAGCTGGAAGCATTCCCCAGGTTCATCCTCATTAGGACTTAATGAAGTGGCCACTCAGTAGAAGAAGGTAAGCTCAGGTAAGCACCGGTGCCCAAGAGGCTCCCTGATGCAGCCCCCCAGGGTCACTTCCTAGGTGCACAGGACACATTTCATTTCCAAGTTACAAACCATCAGGACATGTGGGAGGAACTTGGTTCCAGGAGCTTCTGGTCCATAACGTCAGCAGTGTCTTGTATGCGTGTGTGGTCATGTGGGCCTCCTAGACTCTGTAGCCAGGTATGGGCCACAGGTCTGCACGTCCCTGAGGGGCCTCAGAGGTGTTTCCAACTTGAAGATGGGTCACTGGTGACTGTGAATCAGTACTGGTGTACATGGAAATGAGCATGGAGATGCCCCAGTCTTGCTGTAAGAGAACTTTATTTTATGCAGTTATATATAGGGATGAAATAGGTAATGGTTTAACAATAACCTAAGTAGATAGGTTAAAGATAATGAGAACCAGAGTTCTCACTGTTAGAGAAGGAATTAAAAAATAGAATGAGTCTTGTGTGTATTGGACTCAGATATGCTGGAGTGAACTGCAGGTTTTTAATAACATAAATAGACAGTAAAATCAATATTGATTTTAGGGTGTGTGTGTGTGTGTGTGTGTGTGTGTGTGTGTGTTTCCTAGTTCTGTCCACTGAGGAGCTGAGATTACTGATTCCCCAGTAACAGCTAGCACAACTGGTACCCAGAATTTGGCTTACAAACCACATTTCCCACAGAAAAGAACCAGAGCTTATTGGAGAAATTGCTGATTCCTGGACTGTGTCAGAAAAAGTGCAAGATAAGCCAGAATATCAGAAAGCAAGGATGTGCTTAAAGAAGGATAGGGACATGTTGAAAGGACTTAGAAGCCAGCGTGGATGGACTCCATATGAGACACTGTTTGAGCATCAACATAAACAGTGAGGGATCATAATCCCTTGACTAAAATAGGAAACCACAAAACCATATGAAGACAAAGAAAATCATATTTTAAAATAAACACTGTTGCCATTTTAGTCTGAATATTTCTTTGTCGTGGGTTGGTCCATCTTGGGCTTTGTAGGAAGACGTTCATCAGCATCCCTGGCTACTGCCTGCTGAACCAGTGCCATCAGTAGAAATGTAATGAAACCACAGTAGGACCTTTTAGATTTTCTAGATTGGGCAGCCTCATCAGTTTTGACCTCTGGTGCAGGTGGCCAGAGTGTGTGTTTAAGGGAGCCTTCTCCTCTTCAGCCAGGAAGCAGAGAAAGAGGGTGACAGGGGAAGAGACCAAGGTCACTCAGGCCCCTTTGAGGACACACCCACAGGGACCGAAGGACCTCCCACTGGGCCCACCTCTTGAAGGTCCACAGCATCTCTCAGTGTCTCTACCATGTCTTCAGGATGGACCTTTTGGGGGGACACTCATCCAATTCCTAGGGAGGACATAATGTGAAATGATGTGGCCTGCAGTTTACCCAGTTGGTTGTCCACGTCAAGGAGAGAGAAGGCCACAGAAAAAAGGAGGCCAGAGAGATCTGACTGCAGGCAACACAGACCGTGAAGTGGCTCTTTTCATAAAAGAAGCAGCCGTGGCTTTTCTGGGGTGGGGGCTCATGGTCACATGTCAGATTGACTTCTTTGATTATGATGGTTCTAATGTTTTGGTCTGTAGGAAGTATGCCCCCAAGTTGTAGGGCCTCAGGCCAGCCGCTGGATCTCAGAGCTTTAGGCCAGGAAAACATGCTCATTATTTCCTAAGTATGCCGGGATACAAATCCAACCTTGAGACTATTTTTGAAAACATTTTTTTTCCTTATCATTCCTTTAAGGAAAAATCTCTAGTGCATTAAAAGAATGTTCTTATAGAGAGAATATTGGAAAAAGTTCTAGGTCTCTTTTTTACATAAATGGTGTGTATATGTGAAGCTGCCCACAGTGAAGTTTTAGAACCTAAAGTGGAAGGGTTTTCCATTTCTCTCTCTCTCTCTCTCTCTCTCTCAAATTTGTGTGGATCTGTATATATTTTCTTTCTTTACAGTTAGAAAAAAAATATTCTTTTGCAAATGTAATCTCGTTGAGCAGATTAAACATCATGATAATATTTGAAGCTGGTAAGTAGTCTGCGTTTTAAACTGAGTCTCTGAAATGTCAACCAAAATATGTGTAGAGGAAATCGTGAGGGCTTTTTCCCCCTGATCATCTGACAGTGCATGGAGAGTTTCTGGATGATGGTGGTCGGTGGACCGAGATTAACACGTGCTGCCTCTGTTTCAATATGGTGAAGCATAGGTGAGGCCTTGTGCTACTCTGTACCTTGGCTTTTTCTGAGTTGCACATGTTTTGGAGATAGATGGACAATATTAGGCCCCGAGACCAGGTTGCCAAGCATAGCTAAGTGGCCCTTATAAAGTTTGAACCTGTGACATTAATCTCTTTAGCTCTGACTTGCTGTGCTAATTGCACCTTTGATTGCATCACTCTTCTTCATTTGGTTTAACATTTAGCAGATAGTCTTATGAATCCAGTTTCCATTTTGAGTGGTACCAGTTCAGCTTGTAAAGATAATTTAGCAGTTTACCTGCTGGGGGCACAAGTATAATTTGGATACGTTTCCTGAATGTGATTTTTTATTTTTTTTCTGTTTCTTTTTACAGTCTCCTTGTCCCACATCACACAACTGGTCCTCAGCCACAACAAACTCACAAGTAAGTTCACTTTGTCTTTTTTGTTATAAAGTTTCTCACTTTGGGAGAATGTTATGTATGGTACTGCTGATCCTGTTGTTAACTTTAAAGAAACTAATGAAAAATGATTTTGGGGAAATTTAAAGTTTATTTAGTGGACAACTAAGAAATATGAGCATGGTGTCTTCCTGTATTTTATAGTCGACTCAGCTATCAAAGAACTCTTTTCTGTATAGAGAAAATGAGACTGTTTGTCTGGAAGTGGCTTCACTCAGGGATGGTAAAAGCCATGGTGACCAGAAATGCTGAACTATTGGTTAACATTGAATAAAAAAAAAAAAAAAATATTTGTCAAAAGTATTAGCCTGAAAGTTCTTTGGTTTTTATCTAGGCTTCTCTTCAGGAGAGGAAGACTTAAATGTTGAACAGGTTTCCTTCCCTGCTTGATGGGGAGAAAAAATTCCCAGATTGTCAGGTCCTATACATTTGCATCTGCATTTTGATAATATTTGAGGCTAGTCCCCCTGCCCACCTAAAACTTCTCCTGGGCATGAACAGTGTCGTGGTATGGTTAACATGCAGTGGAATTAATATCTGTTTTAATGAGAATATCTTAGGTGAATGATGGGCCATTTTATTCTTAGTGCTGTGGCTCTAAAGATTTTAATGACAGGGACCCTCTCTCCTTTCTCATTCCTAATTGACTGTCACATCTTTGAGCTCGCCATATTTCCTGCAGACTTGAATGGTTTTCTAATCATGTGGCAAGAATTTGTTCGAGTGCTTTCAGAGTCCAATGAAGTTGAGCAGAGTGTCATGTTGAGGGATTTGTGTTGTGAATTTATGTGTGTGTGTGTGTTATATATGGCTTGGAGCAGTGTCACAGAGCTGTTGATTATGGAGAATCAAGAGTGGCAGTGAGTGAGGGCCCCTCATGTGCAGGAAACAGGCAGATTAGCTCATTTTTAGCTAAAGTGCAGATTTATACAGCAAAGGCAGAGTGGCAAAATGGACCCATGTAAGTGGCAGTGGCCTCAGAAGCTGAAAGTGAGACCTACAGGTCATGTGTGAACATTATAATCTGCAACATGTTGTGAGTTCCCTTGTTTTTGTGAGACCCTAATCCCAGTTGTGAGGGGATTTGCCATTTGTTTTGGATTTCTAAATTCCCCAAGACAGCAAAACATTCTTGACACTCTTCACTGCACAGTTTACAAAGGTATCGCTTAACTGATGCACTGACCATTGTTAGATCTGTGTCATTATTGTAACAAAACAGATTATATGTAAGTGTGAAAGGCAAACCTGCCTTGTTCCTGTTATATCATCCATTGATCTGTCCTTTAAAAAAATCTTTCAAATAGTTGCAGTTTATTTCTTTTTTATCTGTTGGAAGAGAGAGAAATCTCAGGAATCAATGGATCAGTTTCTTTCTCCAGGCCTATGATATTAGATAAGTTAAGAGGGGCATACATAAAAAGTTAAATGGTGTGGGCTTTTAAAGAGGCCATTGACCGTGAAAGAATCCTTCATATTTCTCCCCTCCCTGTTTTTTTTTATTGTTCTTTGTTTTTTCTCTCCATTTGAGACACTCTTGACCTAATCCAGTAAACTCTAATTAATCGTCTTGGTAAATTCTGTTTCAAGCCATTGCAAGTGGTGTCATTGACACCCAATCTGTTCCACTAAGGTCAAATTAGCATCTTTTACTATTTTTCTGGCATTTAAATGAATGACTTTGCTATGGTTTTTCAAGTTTTTATAGTAAATATGTCCATTTGATGGAAATATAAATATGCATTAAATGTAAGTGGCTGAGCACACCCTCCTGTCACTTTTCCGTCTAATCAGTGTCTTTCATTTTCCATTGTTTTTAATAGGGGCTGCCTGACAAGGCTACATTAAAACCGCTGGGACTCAAAAGATAAACCCCCCAGCATCCCCTTTTATCTCACTAAAGTATTTGTGTTTTTCTCTTGCTCTGCCAATTATACTGCTCTCTGACATTTCTGCTTGGCGCTTACAGAATGAGTGACTAGCCTACTCCAGCCGAGGCCTTGATCTGGGGACACTGTTTGACTCCGCTTACTTGAGTTAATATTTGCAGGGGCGTCTGATCGTTGTGGCACTGAGTTGAAGTCCCTTTTCTTGTTGGTGATTTTGACTTTGATAGGTAGTACACACAAGGCCACGGGAAAGCCTACAGTGGGCTGCATGATCCTGAAATACCCCAAGATTTTGTGGGCAGAAATTCTTAAAGTTTCTTACCTACATAAAAATATTTCAAGTTGATCAAGCTATCACTGTTTGAGTGTCATCATTATTACAATAAAGCTGTTTAATTTAAACCTGGGGTACTGTGGCTGCGTTTGATGGGTTTGGTGAAGTCAGTGGGGAAATCAATGTCCACAGCAGCTTTCCCTGATTTGCATATGTGATGTAGTCAGGAGGTGGGACACAGGAGCAAGTAGATCCTTTTACTACTGCCTTGCTTCTCTGATTGACCAGGTGCAGGCTAGGAACCCAACAGGGGAATTCTGATCCAGTGGATAGAGTTTCAGAGAGTGGATCCTTTTATTTTACCTTTTTTTTTTTTTGCAGTGTTGGTGATAGAACTGGGGTCTCATGCATGCTAGGCAAATGCTGTACTGCTGAGCTACACCCCCAGTCCTAGAGTAAAGATCCTTTCAACACGTTCGTCTCAGTGCCTGTTCACATCAGTGCACATGCCTAGTGCCAGGTGCTGTCTGCCTGACTTCTAGAGACTGTGCTGATCTAGCCCCACATCCCATCCAGCCTTCTTCCCCACGGCTGCTGGAGGAAGACTGTTTCTTCCTTGTGCACCTGTGCTCACTTCCCTCCTGCCTTTCCTACTTCCATCTGGAGCAGCTTTTCCCTGTCCCCTCCTGGAGGCCCCCAACTGTTCTGCTCCACTTGGCAACTCTCCTCCCAGCCCCTGAGGAAACCCTGTAGGTTCCTCAGCCCCAGTGCAGTTCCTTGTCCTTGGAAAGGCTTCATGTGCAACATGTTTCTTCTCTGTCCCCAACTAGAGTGGTTCAACTTTTTTGAAAGCAGGAACCATTTCTTAGTCTGGTTTAGTACCTGTGGCTGAGCGCATGGGGCTTTCCAGTTATTTCTGTGCAAACTGAAGGAAGGAGAGGGCTGACAGGGAACACCAAAGAGGAAACAAGAGTGGGGACTGTTGGGACCTGGCAGTTCCTTGGGAGTTAACTGATACAGGGACTTGAGTGGATCTGACTGCCACAGACTTCTGTATTTTACCGGTCATATGTTCATTTCAGATGTGCTGGACTGTGAGTGCCCCAAAGAAATGCTGTGTTATGTCTTAGAAATTGGTGTCTGAACAAGCCAGCTTTTTTGTTGCTGTGACCAAAAGACGTGACCTAATTTTAGAGGAGGGAAATTTTATTTGGGGCTCATAGTTTCAGAGGTCTCAGTCCTTAGATGACTGGCTTCATAGCCCTGGGCCTGAGGAGTGGCAGAACATCATGTGGAAAGATTGTGGTTGAGGAAAGCAGAGGGGGACATGGCATCAGGAAGCAGAGAGAGACAGAGCTCCACTCACCAAGAACAAAATGTATATCCCAGTGACCGCCCCCTCCTCCAGTCACACCCTCCCTGCCTACAGTTACCACCCTGTTAAATCCCTGCTATGGGATTAATGCACTGATTAGGTCAAAGCTCTCATTATCCAATCATTTCACCTCTAAACCCTTTTGCATTGTCTCACATGTGAGGTTTTGGGGACACCTTATATCTAAACTGTAACGTTGTCCCCCTTACAGCTATTGGGGTCCTTTCATAATTGAGGAGGCATGCTGTGATGGCGTTCGGGTACACCCAGGTAGGTGGCTGGGATCACAGCCACACCAGAGTCCTTCTCCCTACTCAGTAGCCCTTCTGGGCTTGGCTAAGTCCTCACTCAGTTTTACTTTTTCTCTTTACTGCTCTGGGTCTCACTGGGGGACAGGGTTGTTCCTCTTTCATTCAAAATTAGTTTTGTGTATATATGTGTCCAAATTATGCACTAATTTCCTCATACAATTAATTAATTAATCATGTTTCTTGTGGTGAGGAGCCCCATCTTCTATTCATTTTGTATTCCACCCCCACAAAAGTACTAAAAATATTTTAAACATGAATTAGGTACTCCGTACTGGTCAATTAATGGATTGATTAGATGGCGAGCTGTGCTAAGCCCCAGCAGTCTGAGATGACACACCCTAGGGCCTGTTTGCCTTCGTGATACTTCAAGAAGGGGACCTGGCAATTATTCCAAAGATTGTCTTTTTGAGTCTCTGTGTCCTGCTCTTTCTGCGGCCCTTTGCCTTCTTGGTGGTTACCCTCTCTGTTAAGTCAGTGTTACAGCTAAACCTTTCTCAGTCCTCTCGTTAATCCAATCCATGGGTTTGATGGTATTGGGGAATGTCAGCTTTGTAAATGTTTTTTTCCTTTTTTTTTTTTTTTAAAGAAATTTCTTGTGGAGACAATTATTTCAAAAATTGTCCACTGGAGGTCACTGTTGAGATACGCATTTTCCATTCCCCTCAGGTCTAGTATCTAAAGATTAAAAACCAGCTTTGTGGTGTGAGAGGACATTTTTTGCAGGCTGTTTGGCTCAGTTCTGTATCACAGGACATGTTACTGTTGCCATTTACATAGTATATTTTTATCACATTTTTGATAGATACATCCTATAGAAAGAGGTATGTTGTTGTTTTTTAAATTTCGCTCTTAAAAGTATATATTTGGTTTCATGAATCATTTTTTAAGTGTTTTTTTTTTTTTTATGGCTACTTTCCTGAGTTAGAAACATATCTTCATTTTCCATTATCTTTAAATTGGAAGAAGTATAGTACTTTCCATTGTATTTTGTATTGGACATTTGTGCGTTTTTGTTTTTTTTTTAAGCCTGTGGAAAAAGGTTGAAAAATGTTTATGTAATCAGATTTTAATTCAGAAACAAATGTGGAAAAATTTATAAATGTTCATTTTGTGCA